AAAAAAATGGACTGAACATAAGAATGATAATGCTAAATAAGCACGGTCAATGAAGTAAAAACCACAACATGGACGGACATAAGTATGTACATATATTAGTGAATATATGTATAAGTTTATTAAAAAAAAAGCAAACGCCGGCGCTCTGCTCTTTCCACCCAACGTTAATTTTATACAACTCACAATGGCAAAGTCCACGACCACAGTTGAGTGCCGTTGGAAACGGTCGGGTATTGGCTATGGAGAGAGCGCGACGGTGAGAAATGTGCTGCAGATGCGCACGAAAACCAAAAATTTCCCAAATCTCAAATGAAAGCGAAATTAAATTAATACGAGTACTATACAAACATACATACATACATACATACGGACAGACATGATGAATAAACTTTAAATAATACAATAGTACTACAACTGAATGATTGGGGTTACGTAGACTGGGAACGCAAGCAGCGTTTATTGTTGTGGATGTCGCGCAAAGAGCAAGCGCAAAGAGACGACCAACGCGGTTGCTGGGTTCTAAACGCTCTCGGGCTCTCCGCATTGCATGGCGGCGGCACAGTACATTGCAGATGATGTATGTAGTGGTGACACCACTAGAACAACTCAGCGACGGCGCTGACTCGTAGACATATAGCTGGCTGGCTGGTTGCTTCCGCTTCTAGACAAACGCAACGTTCTAGTTGGGACGAGCCGCTCTGGCAATCTGGTTGAAAATTCTTAATAGTACGTGTGCTACGAATATTGTGCGTTCGCAAGAAGACCGACCGCGCGCCCGCCCGCTGGCCATTTCTTCCACACGCCTACGAGCAGCAGTTTAGCCGTCAACTGTGAAAACAAAGCTGAACCAGCAGCAGCAGTTTGTTGGAACAAATAGATACGTTATTAAGGTGAATATAAGGAGCCGCGGAAGGGCGGAAAACACTTGCATACTTACATATACATACATGTATGCATGTATGTATGTATGCAGCTTTGGGAAATAGCAACAAAAATTGTGCGCACCACCCAGTGCGGTCATATTGGAAAATTAGTTACTGTGCTGTGCATATTTCTGACTTCGCTGCATATTGAAAGTGCATTGGTTGTACTAACTAGGTGAGTATGTGTAAATGTTTATTCATATGTATGTATGTATGTATGTATGTATGTATGTATGTGTGTGTATTTTATGAGAAAACTAAAACCGAATTTATGCCTTATAGAAGTGCAAATCCATTGTGCAGTCAATTACCCGACAAAACAACACAACCACACCAACAACAACAACAACAACTGCAAGTGCGGCAGCACTAACAAAAAACGATAACGAAGCAAAAGTGCGATAGTGAAGTAAAAAAAAAAAAAAATAGAAACAAAATATCCGTCACAACGACGTCTACAACGGCGGCAGCCACGGCGTTCACATCGGATACGCCGAATCAACAACAAATTTCACGGCGACGACGTCGGCGAATAGTCGACCCTTTGCCGCCGCCGCCGCCGCTGCCGCTGCCTCTATACCCAACTACCACCAACGGCCACACCATTACTACGACCAGTCGTGTCGGTCGACGCGTGCGCCTACCGGTGCACCTGGCGACATCGGTGACGGCTACCATAAGAACGGGAGCGTCATCTACGTTGGCTCCGAAAAAATTACGAACTTTGCGAAAATTGCTGTCGCGCGGCAAAAGAAGGCACATCAAAGTGCGCAATGCTAACAGCGGCGTCATCGGCATTCAACCACAGCAACATTTCAATAATATCATCAATAGCAACAACAATCAGAGTAGTATCGGCAACAATACAAATGCCGAAATAGCCGATAGTGAAGATGCCATGAAAGTAAAGGAGCGCGAAAAAGTAATGGCTGATAAGAATTCAAATGAAGCATTGGAGGTGATTAAGGAAGCCGAAGCCGAAGGTGTCGTCCAACGAATGAACGGAGCAGCCGTGGATGCCTGCAAGTCGGAAAATGTAAGTGGTTTACACATGCTAGTAAGTAGTATTGTGCATACACTGGTCAACAGTGGTCTTGGTGCCAAGGAGCTGTAATTATTATAAGACCTTATACTGGCTACATAAATAGAAAACAGAAAAACACAAATTTAACGTAAGAATTTTATATTTTACGACTTGCGTCAGTACTAGTCAGCCATCATAGTCAATTTCTTAGTAGATATCTCTTTTCCATAGACACGGCAAGTTTTGGTCCTCGCATGGTGTCGGTTTTTCATTTCTTCAAATTTCAAATCACCCTGTACCGCTAAAAAAAAGATCTAAATTCAAAATATTTGTACATGAAAACTTATTGCACATCTACCGGCCTTTACTCTACTTTGACATCTTACTTTAGAGATTAGAAATAACGGTGCAGATCTGATGATCTTCAAACACCTCAAAAATTTTCTTAATGTCAAAACTAAAGATTTCGTGAAACTCTTTCGTTCGACAATATTTCCATATTTCACTTATGTAACTTGGGTAGAATTTAATTACATTCGACTTTTCAAACAGGTGCAGCCCTCTTCGAAATATTTTCAGACGACTGCCTTCCTAAACTCCTATTTCCCGGTGATACATATGTATGTCACCATATTCATAATTCAAAAAAAAAAACTTATGTTTTAACCAGGGATCGACCCACAAAATGGTAGTGCGGACCTCTAACCACTCGACCAATGTGGCCGCCCACGATATTCATTCGCATGGAAAAATACCCCAGCGTTTTTCAATAGGAGTTCTATGTCATCAGTTTTCGTGCAGACTTAAATCTGCAGACATAAATATGTACATACTTACTATACACATAAGAACCACATTGCTATTTTCAGCGGCAAAAAGGTTGTACTTACTAAAACCCATTTGATGTATAAAGAATTTAGGACCCTAGGGGCACAAGGGGTCATAAAAACAAAGAGTGCAACTAGGAAACTGGCAGGCAAACAAGTGAACCAATAGCCAGGAAAAAGGCCCTTGGTAAAAGAACCCATTGGCTAGGCTATCCAGCTTATAGAAAGTTGTAGCTCCAGGGAAGGTAGTCTCTCTCCCAAGTACAAGCTTAAATCGTATACTGAATGGTCATTGCAGGCTGCGAGTCCCCTGAACACCATAGGAATCAGCACAGACTACGCCTTTCATTACTGTGATATGGCGGAACAAACCCTAATGCCGGTCGGCAACAAGCACATTTTTCCCGAGATGGGTTTCATTGTGGCTTTAGAGCTTGTAGTTAGACGAGCTCTCTTGAAGAGCTTTGAGGCCACAGCAGACTTAATTTCGCAGCACATATTCTGTATTATATCTGTATATGTACCTATGTATCTAAAACTAATTCCCCACATGCCCATTTCTCTTTTTCATCCCACAGAAAGCTTCACCTTCACCTGCACTCCAGCAGCCTGCTCACGAAAAAATGCTCTATGATACGCGCATTCGGCGAAAAAATGTGCTGGCACTCAACGAGAAAGTGGCAGCCATACGCGAATATGAAAAATCACCGGTCTATAAGCGAGTTGGTCGCCTCTTCCACTGCAGTCCCGATCAGATAAAACGCATAGTACAGCAAAAGGATAGCATACTTGAGGCATGGCAACAACGTACGCGCCGCTGTCACGACGCCAAGACGCTCGAGATGAAGGTGGTGCGTGTTTCGATGTTGGGGAAAGCCGTTTTCGACTGGCTGCGACGTATGATCTACTACCAGGACATACACATAACCGATGGACTCATACAAAAGACAGCGTTGCAATTCAAGAGTGCAATGGGTCTGCAGAATTTCTTTCCGCATCAGGATTGGTGCGACAAATTTCGACAAACCTACAAAATATACACAAGTGATAGTAAATTGTTGAATATTGGCTACACTCAAGGGTATTCGGTGCAAATTAAGGATGTCATGAAGGATGTGCTAAACGAGTGTACACCGGATGCGGGTAAGGCGCAGCTGCGTGATCAAGATGATGATGATGATGATGACGATGTTCAGGAAATAAAGGAAGAGCCTAAAAATAGCGACAATACTAGGGGGCGGCAAGAAGATGGTGGTGGCGAGGATATGGCGGCAAAGCGAAGACGTTTGAATGCCACTCAAAGTGGTACAATTGGCAGTGCGTCAAATGCTTCAAGCAGCACTCTAAATGCAACTGGAAATCCGCCCATTAATCGCATAAATTTGAGCAAAGTCAACATGAATACGCCCAATAAGAATGCAACGTCTTCTAATATGGAAAACAGAAGCGCTACACAGCCAGCGTTGCATAAGGTGCCAACGTCACAGCTGCCACCATTGCGTCAACTGGTCGCATTGCCACTTCAGGGCAACGTCGCAGGCATGCCGCAAAAGGTGCTCGTCGCCACGCCCATTACACCTGCTGGTCAGGTGGCCGGCACAAAACCAATGACAATGACAATTATACCACTGGCGACCATAGCGCAATCGCAAAGCATGCAACCGGCCTCGGCAGCGGTGTCAGCTTCTGCGACGGCAGCTACTGCCAATGCGCTGACAGCTGCACTAGCTACAACAACGGCAACTGCAGCTACGCCGTCTTCAGATGCGGAAAAGTCAGCCGTGCCAACGCCTATGTTGGATATTAAAAAGGAAATCAAGCAAGAGCCGGTTGAAGTCAAAGAGGAATACATTTCGGATGCTGAAGGAGAAAGAGAAGGAGAAGCGGAAGAGGAAGTGGAGCCAGCGGCCACCGGGAATCCACAACAACAACAACGAAGCGCACATAGCATCCTGCAGTCGGCTGCGATTGCACCACAACGGAATTCTAAAAAGCGTCAAACTAATGCTTTTAACACCGATGCTGACGCCTCTCCGTCGAGTAGTGGCACAACGGTGGCAGAACGTGAATCGGCGGATGATGAAAATATCGCCTTGGCCAATTTGCGACGACTCATACAAACTCAAGGTAAAATTGTAGCCACTTCAACGCCACCACCACCAGTTGACGTGCGTACTGCGATAGCAGCATCAGCGATACCGCCACTTGCGCCAAAACCTAACCTACCGCCCGTAACATTGACACCGATCACAGCTGCCATGAGCGATCGCCAAAATTTAGCAACTATATCGACGACTGCCATTACTTGCATACCTGCCGCCAACATATCTGCCATGAGCGGATCATTGAGCTTCACTCCGCCCTTGCCGCCGTTGACGAAAGCACCAGATGCGGTTATAAATCGGATGGCGAATAAGCGGAAAAATACGGCAAATGATGGACCGATAATGCCGCCCATCAAAAGTTGTTCCGAGGCGCGTAAATACCTAAAGCTACTGGAAGACTTTGCGTTGGTAAAAGAAAATTTTCGACTGATCGGTTTGATAACGCGCGCCGACGAAGTGCTGCGGGAGCTGGATGGTGACGATGATGTCGATGTGGATTAAGGGCGATCCGACGACGCTGGAGGGTTACTGGGATAATATTTTTGTAAGGCTGTATGCAATTAACTTGTGTACAGATGTAAGCACATACATACATACAACATACATTCGTACGTATGTACATATAAATTTCGATATATAAAAGTTACTGTATCTATAGCTTTTTCTATGAGTACCAAAGCCGGTAATTGTTACCATAGTTTGTAAGTCAAGTGAGAAAGATGAATAGAAGTTTTCATACACACGTACATATGTACATATATGTGTACTTTGTTTTTTGTTCAATGCATATGAATTGATTTAATTTTATTGAACTGAATACCATGATACTATTATGAATACTTTTATTTTTACACACCATGTAGGACATTAGAAGTCCACTAATTTTCATTAAAAATTTAATAAAATCACATACAGATGTCAATTCTTTAATTGAAATTGTTTTTTTTTTATGCAATTATTTGATTTAGGAGTTAGGCTCGCCGTAAAAGGTGTTGTACTAAAATTTTTTGGACATCGTCTTCGGGAAAATTCTGGCAACTGTCTTTCAACTCACCACAATTGTCAATTCTGGCAATTGAAATTCTTGAAAGTTCTCTTCGGTATATCGAAAGACTAATTAAAAGATCTGCTAAGAAGGAAGTCTCGGCATTATTCTGTTTGGCTTTTAGCAATAAATAATAAAAACTTAGAATAAAAATAAAAATACATACATTGAAAAAGAAAAAAAATTAAATTCAAAAATATAAAATTTAATAAAAATATATTTCCAAGAATGATGTGATATTAAAAAATAGGTTTCTGTTAAAAAAAAATAAAATCTAAAAATTAAAAGTAAATAATTAAAAAGGAAATATAAAATAAAATTAGTTCCTCGAAAGTAAGTTCTCTTGAAAGTTCTCTAGCGTATTTCGAAAGACTAATTAAAAGATCTGCTAACGAGTAAGTCTCATTATTATTCTGCTTGTTTTTAAGCAATCAACAATAAAAACTGAGAATTAAAATAAAAATAAATTAAAAAAAAGAAAAAAATGTAATTCAAAATTATAAAATTTAATAAAAATATATTTCCACGAATGAAATGATATTAAAAAATATATTTCCTTTCAAAAAAATAAAACCAAAAAATTAAAAATAAATAAAAAATTAAAAAAGAAATATAAAATAAAATTAGTTCCTCGGAAGTAAAGGAAAAAAATTTTCTTTGCAAAATAATTCTTCTTCTTCCGTTTTAATACACTAGTCGAGTGGAAATTTTAGGCAATGACGCTAAATTTTCGATACGATTCGACTCTCGAAAAACGACTTGCATTCGGCACGACTCTCGCAATGAGGCTGAATAAAAAAAAAAATAACTAAAAAGGGGTCATTCCATGTACATATGTAAAAGATGAAAACGACATAAAAATAAAAATGTCCTAATTATCTCTATTTCAATAATAAACCGTTTTGAATGACCTCATTTCATTAATCTGTTGAAAAATAAAAAGTATTTTATGGAAACTTTTACTTGATGCATAATTACTTTCCACTAGTCACAATGACAAGTCCCACCGGTCGCAAATTTAAATATTTTTTAATACATACTTTTATAAAGATTACATAAGCCTAATTTTTATTGAAAACGAAAATGTTGTATTTTACTACACAAAAACATCTTTTGTGAAAATTAAATACTTTGGCTAAAATTCATCTTTGATTGCACAAAGGTAAAATAGAGTTCTTTTCAGTGTCCCACTAGTCAAATTCATTCAAATGATAGTTACATAAAAATGAAAAATCGTTTAGTATTTTTTTAAAGCATTTTTTGTACATTAGTTATCGTTCTATGTTAAAAATATCATTCGCCGTTGTATAAGTTCCGACGGCATAGTTATAATTCATAATTGATCACATACTGGAGTAAAATGTCGCAGTTGAATGGCCCCAAAGACAAAATAAAATCCTAAAAATTAAATTAAATTGAAAAATAAATTTTTCTTTTTAAAACAATAAAATCAGAGACCAAAAATAATTGTTATCTCGAACTTATAACTTGAAAGCGTTGACCGAATTCTAAAATTTAACGAAAACCTCGTTTCATAACAGTTATTAGATGAGAAATATTTTTTGTTTCGTCGACAAGAGTTATAACACAATGTATACTTTTTACGTTGCTTGATAACAGTTATTGCACGACGTTTATTTTTACGTTGTCTGATAATAAGAGTTATTTCGCTATCTTACTTTTATTTCCATCATCTTTACCCCCTGAGTCCAGATTTTCTGTCGACGGCCCTGGTCATAATGACGCTTTTTCACAAAGTAGAGAAAAAATTCGATAAGGATTTTTTGTGCTTTTTGGACAGTTCTCATGCAGCAGACCGCCCAATTATACTATACGTAGGAACATATTCAATCCTGGTTAGAAACCCATCTTTATTAACTGCCTCAGATAGGGTTCAGCCCTTAGTCGGGAAAAACCGCCGTCATTCCAGTGAGTACAACCCATACCAGACGAACAGCTTCAGCTGCTGCGAGAGACAATTAAAATCTGGATACCGCAGTCGACTGACCAGACTTGACCCCTACATAACTAACTTATGGCTGCCTTGTGAAGGCTCCTCTCATAATACCAACAACCTCTTCAACTGGCCACTAAGCTATCATTCCTCTCCCTTTCATTCGATCCCGTCAAAACAGCACGTTTCCTGCGTCCACCGTTAGTTGAGCTTGCGGAGAGTGATCCCATGACTCGACACACCTCTTCGCATGCCTGACGAAATTCCACTCAATGAACGCCGCTCTCGCCTAGAGTGGCACACTTCCTGGGCCCTCCGTAAGTTTAGCTTGACGACAACGACTAGAAGATAAGCCGATCTAGGCAGGACTTAGTAAGGAGCTACAACAACAGTGTCGCTGAGATACTTTGCCGACCTAAACGTGGTTAGATCGCCGAAGCAACAGCCCTTGGTCGGGTTAAACCCGAGTCTACGCACACAACCACCGGACATCAACGAGACGGTGATTTATCTGCCTCGGAAGACTAGAACCACAATAGCTCAACTTCGCTCTGGCTACTGCAGCAGGTTAAACTTAAGATTAGATGCAGATGTGCCAAATGAGTGTCCGGCATGCGGAGAGACACCCCACCACTCGAAACAACTCTTCGTATGCCCGGTAAACCCGACAACATTAACGTCGCTGTCCCTGTGGACCGACCCCATTGAGGCCGCATGCTTCCTGGGGCCTCCGTTAGTGGAGCTTGACGACAACAACTGAGATATTAACCGATCTGGGCGGGGCTGTTGTAGCCGCTACAACAACAACAACAACCTCAATGAAGAAATCTCTGGTTGGACTCATCGCTAACTGCTCATACGAAGGTTGAATCGAAGGTCAGTCAACAGGTGTCGGTTTCAGTAAGGCAAGCATTAAAGCTCAATACTCTCGTATAGAAAATACAAAGTCCCTTACGGAATGTCGCAGATCTCTGACTGAGATTGCCCAGCCTGGAGATTGGTACAAGCCTTTTCGAAAGAACGCGACGATAGGTCATGAATGGCCAACTTTAGACAGTATGTAGGAGATCACAACGCACTAGTAGCCAATGAGCGATGAAGAAACCAATTTATCCGCATATTTCATTCTTGATAAACAACTGCTGTCATACAAGGAATCAAACGGAATAATTGCCTCGGACTTATGTAAAACCACCATTTAACGCTAAAAGTACTTAAAAGGCCTTCCCAATATCTAGTACTTTAGAACATATAGTATGTACATTAGGCCGTGCCACCTTAAAAGCAATTCAAAAAATAATAATTAGCTGAACCTAGGGGTCGCCTTTTACAGTTTTTGCTGACATCTACATACATTCCCCAATACAATTTTTTTTTTTTAATGAGAAAGATATGACGAAAAAAACGAATGTCACAACGCGACCCCTTGTCGTGCAACAATATTTTAAGACACGGGATTGTACGGAAAAATTTTTTTCCGGTAAGTCTAATGAACATATGTATGTACATATGTATATATGCATATGTATGCATGCAGTCTCGCCTCATTGATTGTTTGTGTCGGAAAATCACAAATTAAGTGGCTACGGCGCTATAGATGGGTCTATGAACACGCTGCCAGTTGCGCTAGCTACGTGTATAACTCTACGTGTGTATTTGCGGGGTCTGACCTCCAATGCGCATGTCTGCCCACTGAGTTAAAGCGTCCGGTAGATGACTTTACGTGTTATATGAAAACTTATACATATATACATACATATGTATGTATGTATGTACGTATTTACTCACTACTCTCCGCTAAACGGAATGACTTTCAGAGCAATGTATTCTCTTCATTGTTCGATTGGACTCACGACTACGAAGTGGCGACACAGTATGATTGCATTGCCATAAAAAAAAGAGCTGACAATTATATTTAGAACAAGCATGCAAGCGAGCACAACATCAAGCTACTTATGACCTGACTAGGCGAGTTAATGCATAGTACCCGCTGACATGCAAATACATATATAAATACATATGTATGTATGTACATTTGTATACAAAACATGGTGTTGATACGAATTGCTACAATTAAGTCTACAATACTTTACATACCTATTGTACCTATGAGCTTCAAATAATGATGCTGATAAGACAACAAAGATTTTGTGTAATTTACATTACTTCCATCTCGTAGGGGCTTAAGTCACAGAACAGTGACTGAAGATCGATAGCTGGTTTACAAGCAGAGAACTCACTCTTTAAATACGCGCATACATTAATGCATAAGTACATAAGTATGTACATATGTACATGGATATATCCATATTTATATAAAAAAAAAAAAAAACAATATATTATACATACACATATGAAATTTATATACTTTATTCTGATGCCCTTAGCGTTAATCATTAATTTAACATGAAAATTCAGATGGGTTTTAAATTTGTAGCTGCTATACTTATTTGTTCATTAAGTCATAATCCAAACCATTTCAGCACACATTAATAAATACAAATACTTAATGAAACTACAAAACTACATATTTACATACAACTATTAGTAAATATTACAGTTCTTTTCGTTATCAAATACATACATATGTATGTATGTATGTATGTATGACTATAATATCTGCTCTTAAATATTATCTCTCCGTTCAAATTTTCGCGTGGCGCCCTTCTCGAAAACACGCGTCAGCTGCATAAGTAAATTTAGTGCATGGAAATCTTCCTTCTGCACCGCAAACTCTTCTAATGGCTGTAAGACGTGCATTGCCTCCATATACGTAGTCACTGGCTCTCTTTTTACGCTTTGGACGAAGTCAGTAGCCGCGGCAGAGCGTGCAGCTGGTTCTGTTGTGTCTGTTCTCTTTCGTTTCACACCCTTACTATCACCGCCTCCAGTGCCA